CAGACCCGACATTGAAAATCGCCACGGCACCGCCGAGGCGAATCCAGCCGTGGCGACGAGAAGTCTCTCGGAGGGTTCAAACAGGGAGCAATATTCAACAGTATCGGATTTCGACATGTTGTTCCATGACGTCGGGTCCTCGACAGCTGGCACGAGATTTGGGAGCAGCCCTGGCTGTGGACCAGCACCCTTATTCCCCACCGGAAAGGTTGGGGTCGCTAGATTCCAAGAACAGACCTCCCAGCCACTCCCACCCTGCATACTGCGGCCGCCAAACCCCAAGTTGTCCCGAGTGTGCGAGTCGTCCCGCCTCGCGCCCTCGACAAACACAGAACACACCCTGCATACCGCGGCCGCCAGACGCCAAGTTGTCCCGAGTGTCCCGTTTATCCCGTCTCGCGCCCTCGACAAGCACAACAGAACACACCCTGCATACCGCGGCCGCTAGACCCCAAGTTGTCCCGAGAGTCCAGGTTATCCCGCCTCGCGCCCTCGACAAACACAACAGAACCCACCTTGCATACTGCGGCCGCCAGGCTCCAAGTTGTCCCGAGTGTCCCGGTTATCCCGTCTCGCGCCCCTGACAAACACGACAGAACACACCCTGCATACCGCGGCCGCCAGACCTCAAGTTGTCCCGAGAATCCCAGGTATCCCGCCTCGCGCCCTCGACAAACACGACAGAACATAATATGGCACAACAGAACATGACAGAACAGATCAAGAGCATGACAGAACATGGCAGAGCAGAACCTATAAACCTCATGACGAAATAGAGGACACCAGCATATCACTGAACATACCAGATCAGAACATGACATAACAGAACACGACATAGCACAGTATAATACAATACCATAAGACACATCGACAGAACAAATCATATCATGACACAGCGGTACCAACCATATCATAAGACGACAGCAGAGCATACTGGCGACCACGCCGGAACACAACATGTCACACCAGAAGATAGCATGACATAACGCGAGCATGGTATAACGTGGCATAGCATAACATAGCAATATCATGACACAAAAAGAGCATGTTATCACATCACATAACATATCATCGACTAGCATTGTATAGCATAAGGCGGTACAACACAACATAACACATCATAACCGAGGAACACATAAGACACCGTCGCAGATATTCCCATATCATTGCACTTCATTGCAGAACATATCATAATACAACAGTCTAGCATATCGCCGCATACTAGCATAGCAGGTCATAGTATATTACACTGTGCCGAACCGTCCACAAACACAGCATCACATAACGTACCAGAGCATAGCATGATATAAAAGAAGACATATCACAACATAACACAATAGAGCCGAGCATAACACAACACAATATGGCAGGACACATCAGATCATGACACAGCATCACAGATCATATCATAGCACAGCATCATAGCATTGCGAAACATACTAGCAGAGCAGATCATAACATAATATACTGAGCCGAGCCGTCAACAGCATCATGGAACAGAGCATACTTTAACATATTCTGTCAGAGTGCCATGCAATAGTTTAGTACCGCAACACAGATCACACCATAATATGTCCAATCATATGGTGGCATATATGAGCATAACATCGCATAGTCAACCAGAAGAGAAGCATATAGGTGAAGAGGGGCATCACAGCAGACGACGCATCTAACGTCACAGGCGGCACGACGTCACGCCAGCCCGTCGACATCAGAAGAGGACATCATAGAGCATAACAGGAAAGATCGTTACGACATGAAACACGATTGAACCGTTTTTGAAGACAAAATCGGCAGTAATACAGTTGAGGAGCGGAGTACCACGACAGAACATGACATAGCATGTCATATCAGACTTTACTATATTGGGCCGAGCCGGCAACACCATGACGGAACATATCACATTATAACATAAAGTGGGAGAACATCTCATGCCCCAACATGGTGCCAAAGGGTATGGTACAACAGAACGTACCAAAGCGCATTGAGGCAGAAGCGTGCATGACAGAGCATAGTTTCACGAATGAGATAATGGGAGGGCAAGGGGACATCGTAACATAATACACCGTACGTGCACCTTGGCCAGCGTCGCCAAAGGAATCAAGAGCCACATCAATGAGCGATACGACGATGTCTCTAGCGCGATAGGCGTCACAACGTCACGCCGGCCTGTCGATATCATAACATCAGAGAAGACAGCGTCACATTCTACATCAGGGCTGAATCCTACCACACACACACACACACTTTAGCACAACATCGCGTACCGTATGCAGTAGCCACAACTCGACGGTGTCGCCCAGGCGTCACGACGTCACGCCGGCCCGTCGAGAACACAACTGGACATAATAGAGCATGACATGTTAGAGATACTCCATGGAATATTGTCCAACGCTTTTGAATACAGCAACGGCGGTAGTGGAGACCAGTACCACGGCAGAACAGGGCCCATCATATGACACAGTAGTGCAGGACATATCATAACACGACAGCAGAGCATATCGACATTAGGACAGGATCGAATCTAACATAACATAACACAATATTACGTACACGCCACCTACCACTGCACAGCGTCTTCCTGTTTCTCGCCCTGCTCGTCAGCCGTGCCGAGGTACTTTCATTGGAAGGTCCACTTCGTTGTCTGTCCAGCTTCACCCCGCAGCCATCGCCGCGCCACTCCACCCCCTCATCTTCTTCCTCTTCTTCGGGGCGAAAAACTGCGTCGGAGGGGCTCCTGGAGGGGTCCAGGGACGGATTTTGAACGCATTTCTTTTAACCCACTTCTTGACCGATTTTCTGGGGGCCCACTCAACGTATAGCCGCCCCCAACTCCGAGGTTCGGGTCGCCGGGATCGGCTGGAGGGGGGCGAGGACTCCCCCCCCCTTTTGTCCGGTCCGAGGTTCGGGGGGATTTGCTGGCTTTTTCTGGTCCCAGAGGCCCTGCTCGAGCCCCAGGACAGACAAACATCTAGAGCACTTTTGTTTGGTTCCCCGGCTAGTTCACTTGCGTGGCAGCCTCCCCCTTTGTTTCATGCAGCGCCGGGCCGAGGGCTCGCCGGTGCGCTAGGCCCTGTCAAGTCGCGCTGCGCCCGCGGGTTGGCGAAGGGGGCGCGGGGGGCGCCGCTGGGACCGAAAGCCGATGTTTTCGGCGGGGATCGCTCGGATCAAAATAATAATAATAATAATAAGAATAATATTAATAATAATAATATTAATAATCATATTAATAATAATAATAATAATCATAATAATGATTATTATTATTATTATTCGCGCCTGGGCTCCTCGCTCTGCGACGCTCCCGGTGTTCTCCAAGGGGAGGCCCTGAGCCTGCGGCCTCTTGAGTCGCGCTCGCGTGCCCGGTGCGGCACTGCGCCCAACGCTGCCCCCCGCCCTCCCTGACCAAAATTGATCAGAGAAGGAAAAGGTACCCATGCCTCTTCCTCCTCACCCGTTATCCCCTTTAGGGGCCTCCTTGGAGGCCCTCGTCGACACCGCTGGATTCGCCACGAAATCATGGTCAGAACGCACCCGGGGGGTACCAGTATCGGTGCCGCTTGGTTTCCCCAGTTGAGGCGTTCCAAAAAGGGCATTTAGTCTTCGAGGGTCGAAGGACTTGCCGTGTCTTCCTCGGCGCGGAAGTAGAACGAGGCCGCCTCCGCCAGCGGAAGCCAGCGGAAGGCTGGCGGAAGGCGGCGGAAGCAACACATGCGCCCCCAAAAGATGGAAACGTTTTTGGGTTCAGGGTTTCCGAAATCGTTCAAGTGGCACTCGCTGTTCAATCTGCGGGCCCCACGGGTCTCGACCCTTTCCACAGGGACAGCTGTTTTGCCCCAGGTTCACTTCTGATGGACCTGGGGCCCGCAAGCGGCCCCCGGAGGCCGAACTGAAGCACAATCGTTGGTATATGTTATTGGTCCGACAGGGATGCGCCCTTCTCCTGCTGCTGCCCTTCCGTGAGCGCAGCACGCTGGAGCACGGCCGTCGTTTTGCGAGACGCGACTTCCCGCCCAGTCCCTCCGTTGGCCATGGGGTGCGCAGGTGGATCGAAGAACAACAAATGTTTCAGCATCAAATGTCGGAGGTCCGCGCGGGTTTTCGATTTCGACCTCCTGGCAAGCCCCTCCGTCGGCCGTTCGGGGTGCGCACGTGGATCGACGAAGAAAAAGTTGGGTCACCATTAATTTTCGGACATCCGCGCGAGTATCGGTTTCGACCTCCCGCCCAGCCCTTCCGTCGGCCGCTCGGGATGCTCACGTGGTTCGACGAAGGAAAAATTAGATCGCCATACGTTTTCGGAAGTATACGCGGGCATCGATTTCGACTTCCCGCCCAGCCTTTCCGTCCGCCGCTCGGGGCGTGCACGTGGCCCAGAGAACATTACACTTAAGTCGGGCATGTCCCTCTACAGGAGGGATATTCAAGAATAGTACAACAAATAATCGGGTGACGATTTTGAAGTATGTTTGACTTTTCCCAATATATTTTGACTATTTCTGTCTTCTCGTCCAAAATATGCTTGTAGGGGGATATGCCCGACCTAAGAATACACCGATTCGACATGAATGTTCAGAGGTTCGCGCGAATCTCGACTTTGACCTTCCGCCCAGCCCCTCCGTCGGCCGCTCGGGGCGGGGGGGAAGGTGTTTTCTCTTTTCCCCCGACCTTGCGGAGGGGTGCCCCCCCCGAGATCGGGTCTTGGCCACCGGCGGAACGTCGGCAGAAGCTGGCGGAAAATGGCAAAATTTCGGCAGACGCGTTTGCGGGCAGCACGGGCGGCCCCAAAATAGTCCGCAAGATGGGCCAAGAGGGCCACGAGTCATACACTCCAAGAGGCATTCCAAGAGGGCCCCGAGGGGCAAAATTAACTAATGTCCCGAAGGAGTTTGAAGGTTTTTCGCATTTCCGCCTCTTTGGCTTCCCGGCGCTCCAAGACGGCACAGGAGGTCCCAAAGATCGCCCCAAGACGGCTCAAGATGCCCCCAATAGGGTGCCCAGACAGCTCAACAGGCTCCCAGACGGCCCAAGACGCGCCCAAGATGGCCCAAAAAGGCCCCTCCGTAGCCATTTTGGCCCAAGCCCTGGCTTCAAGGTGCTACCATGGCTGCGCCGAGTAGCCGTCTTCTGCCTGGTTTCGCACGTGGTCTCTTCCAGATCCCTGCCGATGTTTGCTATCTCAACGCTGCGTTTTTGGGCCCTCAGCTGAAATCTTCCACCGTGGCCGCCGATGCGGCTGTGCGTCGCAAGGCCACTCCGTGGGAGCTGGGCAAGGCCGATTTCTACTCTGACGCGGAGCGCGCGCGTGAGCTTTTCGCATCGCTCGTAGGCGCTCGGCCTTGTGACATTGCTTTGGTGCCCAGCGCGTCGTATGGCGCAGCGACAGCAGCAGCCAACCTGCTTCCCCATGTGAGTCGCACTCAGAACCTTGTTACCTTGGCGCGAGAGCATACGTCGAACCGCTTTGTCTGGCAGTGCGCGTCTGTGCGAGACTGCGGCCCAGAACTGCGAGTGGTGCCCGCCCCGCACGAGCTTCCAGCAGGGAGAGAGTGGACCGAGGCAGTGCTCTCGGCGATAGACGTCGCCACCGCCGTGGTCGCTGTCGCTCCAACTTTTTGGGCTGACGGGGCCCGGCTTGACCTCACCAGGATCGGCCGGCGGTGTCGCGAGGTGGGCGCAGCATTGGTGGTCGACGGCACGCAGAGCATAGGCGTCGTGCCCTTTGATGTCAGAGAGGTTCAGCCAGACTGGCTCGTCTGTGCTGGGTACAAGTGGCTGCTGTGCCCATACGGCATCTCGTTCTTGTACGCCGCTCCGCGCTTCTACGAGAGCGAGGTGGGGCCACGGGGCCTGGAGGAGAACGGATGGGACAGCGCCAGTTCCGGGAGGGCGAATGCCATGTGGGGACTCCCGGGCGGCGAGGACGACGACGGACGATTGGATTTACGCCAAGTTTGCCGGGCGTCTCGCTTCGACGCAGGTCAGAGATGTGGTAGTTGGTCGACGCTGCCTGCTGCCATCGCAGCCTTGGAGCAGCTGATGGAGTGGACGCCCGTGGCCGTTTCCGAAGCACTCGAGCGCCTTACTGCCAAGGCGATCTACATGGGCAATCGCCGTGGCTTGATCGCCCCGGACAGTCGGCTGCCCCACATGGTCGGATTGCGAACTGCCGACGGGGATTGGGGCTTGGGCTTGGTTTCGCGGCTTTGGGAGCGTCATCGGGTGCATGTGTCTATGCGCCTCGGGTCGCTTCGCATATCGCCACACGTATACAACACTGGCGAGGACCTCGAAAGGTTGTTCACCGCCTTGGACAGAGAGACTGGATCTGACGAGTAGCATCGTTTGTTCGACTTCTGGGCTGGTATGGGCATGTCACGAGTTCACACAGTTCTTGTACGACTCACTGCCTCAGCGAAAAAAAAGATGGCCCAAAAGGGCCCCAGGAACGCCCCCCGAGAGATCCCAGAGGGGGAACACGAGCCGACATGCCTAGTTCTCCGCCCGCAGAAACCCCTGGGAGACCCCAAGAAGCTTACAAGAGGCCCCCACGAGGCTCCCAGGAAGCCCCGCGGATCCCCGAGAGGGCCTTGAGATTGCCCGACTGCGAAATCGGCCGACGACGCCACCGACAACCCTTGAGCGACCCGAGAGAGCCCCACGAGCCCCGAAAACGACGCCAACAGACGGAGAGAACCCAAGCCGCCCGTCGCAGCTTCAAGACAACCTCATAACCGACACAAGACGGCCACAACTTTCAGTTGCGGCTTCGGGCGCACCAAGGTGACCCCAAGACGGCCCAAGACGTCCAAGAGGCCTCTTAGACGCCAGAGGGATACAGGAGGCCAAAATATTGGTTTGTGTGTCCAAAGGTGATTCAGTGATGTTAGCGTGCTCGCCTTTTCGGGAGTCCAACGCTCCAGTACAGCCACATAGGCCCCCAAGATGGCCCCAAGGCGGCCCAAGATGCCGCCAAGAGGCCCGCAAGACGGTCCAAGAGGGCCTCAAGACAGCCCGAGAGGCCCCAAAGACGGCCCCAGAGACTTCCAAGGCGGCCCTCAAGCGCCCAAATAGGGCTTCATGATTGCCCAGGGAGGGTCCTAGCGGCCTGCGAAGGCCAAGATGCCCCCAAGCTGTCCCCAAGAGAGTCCAAGCTGTCCCCCATCGCCGATGCATCGGCGATGCGGCGCAATCCTCCAGCCCCAACGACTCGGACCCCGTCTAGGAGGCTTCTAACTCTCCTCGGGGGCCCCCAAATGGGGTGGTGACCACACCGTGTGGTGAGTCGGTGGGGATCCGGGGTCACCGCACGGTTTTGGGACTCGAGTCACTCTCCGAGGATGTCTCGGGCGACAGGGGCCTCCGAGGTCCCAAAACCGTGCGTTGACGGACCGTGCGGTGAGGACTTGGGGGATTTTGAGGTCACCGCACGGTCTGTCACCGCACCGTTTCGGGACTCCAAATCTCCCCTTCTCGGCGTCCCGCCGCTCGTCGACGCCCAGCGCCGGGAGCGCCGCGGCGCTTTCCCGCAGGCAGCGCCACGCCCTCCGCGGCGGGCACCGCCACGCCGTCGGCGGCCTCGGCGTCGCCGGCGGGCCCCGCCGCCGCGCCAGCGAGGCACGGCACGCCGGCGGCGCCCGGAGGCCGGCCGTGGGATCGAGCGGAGGGTTTCTCCGAAGGGCTTAGGCGACCCGTCCTCCTCCTCCTCCTCCTCGTCCTCCTCCTCCTCCTCCTCTTCGTCCTCCTCCTCCTCCTCCTCCTCCTCCTCCTCCTCCTCCCCTCCTCCCTGCTCCCTGCTCCCTCCTCCCTCCTCCTCCTCCCTCCTCCCCCTCCTCCCTCCTCCTCCTCCTCCTCCTCATTTCTCCTCACTCCTCCTCCTCACTCCCACTCCTCACTCCTCTTCGTCCTCCTCCTCCCTCCTCCTCCTTCCTCCTCCTCCTCCTCCTCCTCCTCCTCCTCCTCCCTCCTCCCTCCTCCTCCTCCTCCTCCTCCTCCTCCTCCTCGTCCTCGTGTCGCCGACGGCTCCGGGGGAAACCGTGCAGGATCGAGCAGCGCCAAGGTCTAAGTCGGGCATGTCCCTCTACAGGAGGAAGATAAAAGAATGGTCCAAAATCAGTCTGGGGGCGACTGCGCGTGCTCTTTTGACTCTGTTTGATAATTGTTTGACTACTTTTGGGTTGTCTTTCAACATCCGCTTGTGGGAGGACATGCCCGATCTGATGCCAAGGTCCAGGCCTCCCGGATGGGGTCCGAGCAGATGGCTGCTTTTGCTATGTTCGGCCTCTGGGGGGGCCCTTGCTGGGACTCGGGGCCGTTGGGAAGCTGGGGCGTCGCGTAAGGAGGGGGCGATGAAAGGCGGAGCGGCGAGGGCTGCAGAAAAGGGGTAATTTACAGCCCCCAAGGGGGCCTGTTCAGGGCCCGAAAAGGGCACCTTTCTTCCCCCCCATGTATCGCCCCCCCATGACTTCGCGCCCAACCGAAAACCAAGGGGACAACGATAGGGGATACTCGCGCAGGCCCAGCCAGGCGGAGGCGTACCGGTGTTTGCCTGCACGGTCACAGCGTTGAGGTAAGGTTCCCTTTGACATAGAGAGGGGCTCGACGTCCCTCGGGTCCTTCCGTGGGCCTTTCCCCTGGCGCTCCCCCGGTTATCGCCCCCCCATGAAGCGTCGCCCAAGAATCTATCTAGTCAGATGAAAAACTGGTCCCGAGGATTGGGTCGAGATCTCTGGGGTCGACGCCATGCAAAAAATCATGGCGGCGGGGGCCCTGGCGCTCGGCCTCCCAGGTGGGGTCCGAGCACATGGGGCTGGAGGATCGCGCCGCATCGCCGATGCACGGCGCATTGCCGGCGCGGCTCGATGTGGAGCCCGAGTTCATCCAAGCCGACGGCGCCGATGCCTCGCCGACGTCGTCGATGCATCGCCGATGTATCGTCGATGCCTTGGCGATGCGGCGCGATCCTCCGACCCCACCTGCTCGGACCCCATCAAGGAGACCCCACAGAGATCGGGCAGTGCCAAGAGGGGGTCGCCACCAAAGTCGAGGCGCCAAAACAAGGGCCACTTTCAGCAGCTCAGGAGGGGCTCTGGCTTCCCAGCCGGTCCTCATATCTAGGTCGACGAACCTGTGCGTGGTTGAGGCTCGCCGTTGCCAGACATGCCCCGGCGCACCTTGGGAGCCCTTGGGAGCTCCTTGGGAGCTTCCTGGGAGCCCCTGGGAGCTCCCGGGGGAGCCCTGGGAGCACCTGGGGAGCCCTTGGGAGATCCCAGGGGAGCCCGAGCACCTGGGGAGCCCCTGGGAGCTCCCAGGGAACCCTGGGCGCACTTGGGAAGCCCCAGGGAGCTCCTGGGGAGCCCTGGGAGCATCTGGAGAGCCCCTCGTTTATTGCTCGGCGTTCCGTGGGGCAACACGATCGCTGTGCGTGTCGCCACCGCCTCCTGGCACGGCGGCGGCGGCGCTTGGTGGGCCGGCCGGCTGGCGAAGGCAGGGGCAATGTGAGGGGGGATGGGCTCAAGCATTGGCGAAGCGTCTTGGCTTGCCTGTAGGACCACCAAAGAATGTTTCGGTATCGTTTAACCAATCCCCATCCCCATCCCCATCCCCTTCAAGACCCTCACCAAATTACCCTCCCAGTTGGGGATACACCCCTATCCCCGTCTGGGGGGGGGATAATCGGCTAAGTAGTGGGGCTCAGGCCACGCCGCTGGGGATGGGGATCGGCTAACGATTCCTTTCGCTTCACGGGGTGCACGTCCGGAGTACGTACAGTGAGGTCGTACAGTGAGGCGTTTGGAGGGCCTCTTTGGGCCGGCTTGAGCCCTCTTCGGCCGCCTGCGGGCCCTCTTGAGTGCTCTCTTGAGGGCTTATTGGGCCGTCTTGGAGCCATTTCGGAGGCTTCTTGGGCCGTCCTGGGGCTCGGGGAGTCGACAAAGGCGAGAACGCCAAAATCTGTCAAAACTCAATGGGAAATTGTTGTCGCTTCGCGAATCCCCACCAGCCCATCCAGAAACGATGCCCAGAGGAATTGCCTCGATCAGAGAAGTGGGCAGCACACAGAGGAAGCCATTATGAGACATCTTGGGATATCTTGAGCCATCTTGGAGGTCATTTTGGGCTCTCCCAGACGCTCTTGGAGTCATCTTAATCCGTGCCCCCCCCCAAGAGGCCTCCATGTGGCTAAAACCTGTGTAGAATCAATGATTAGGCATTCTCGCCGAGGCCTCTTGGAGCATCTTGGGTGCATCTGGGGGGGCTCTTGGGGCCTCTTGGGGGTCTCTTGGGGGCCTCCGGGGGGCCTCTTGGGGGCCTCTTGGGGCCATTTTGGGGCCATCTTGGGACCTCTTGGGGCTTCCTGGGCGCTTCTTGGGGCCATCTTGGAGGAGATCGATCAAACAAGAGGGGGGGTTTAATTAGCGTCCCCCCTCGGAAGCCCCTAAAATCGCCTCTTGGACCCCTCTTGGAACGCTCTTGGAGTGCTCTTGGGCGCTCTTGGGGCCGTCTTGGGGCTCTTTTGGGGCTCTCTTGGGGCCCTCTTGGGCCATCTTGGAACCATCTCCAGGCCTCGGATGGCCATCGGAAGCGAAAAGGCGAGAAAGCAAAAATCATTGATTTTCCTTAGGTTTTGGGACGATTTTGGCCTCTTCGGGGCCTCCTTGGGGAGCTGTTTGGCCACTTGGAGTTATCTTGGGGCCGTCTTTGGGCTTCTTGGAACCATCTTAGGAGCCATCTCGAGCGATCTTGCGCTATCTTGAGCCATCTTGGAGCTCATCTTGGGTTCTCTGAGGCGCTCTTGGAGCCGTCTTGGGCCATCTGGGACGCTCTAACTACCCGCGGCCCCCCCCGTCCAGGTCCAGGGGAGGGGGTAGGGGGAGGGGTAAACCCCTCCCCAAGGGGGAAGAGGGAGGGGTGGAAGAGGATCTGCTCTAGACCACCTACGCCCAGAGGGCTGGTGGGATTAATGATGTTTGTTTCTGGAAGCGCTCTTGGAGGTCCTCTTGGCGCCCTCTTGGGGCGTCTGGGTTTTTTGGGGGGCCCTCTTGGGGCCATCCTGTACCGTCTTGGTCACGTCGTCGCGGGGCCTCTTGGGAGCCTTTTGGGGGCTTCCTGGAGGCCTCTTGGGAGCTTCTTTGAGCCTCTTGGGGGCGTATTTGGGGCCTCTCCCCCCCCCCTCCTTTTCGTACTCCCTCCCCATATCCCCTTCCAGCGCCAGCTCTAATCATGGGCGCCACCGGGACCAACTTCCACCTGGCTGGCGCTGCGCCGCAATTCGCCCAGGGGGAAGAATGACAGTACACTCCAGTCGCTGTGTGGGTTTGGGAGGGCTTCTATGGGGCCTGTTGGATGCTTCTTGGAGACTTCTTGGAGGCCTCTTGGGGGCTTCTTGGGGCCCCTTGGGGGCCTCTTGGGGGCCTCTTGGGGCCTCTTGGGGGCGTCCTGGGCCGTCTTGGGGCGTTTTTCTGCTGTGTCGCCCCTTTCGGAGGCCGTCTTGGGGGCCTCTCGCGGCCGCCTTGTGGCCCTCTTGGGGTCCTCTTGGGCCGTCTTAGGGGCCTCTTGGACCGTCTTGGGGGCCTCTTTGGGCCGCCTTGGGGCCCTCTTGGGCCGTCTTGGGGCCCTCTTGGGGATATTTTGGGCTGTTCTGGGGCGATTTGGGATGTGGGTCGCAAAGGCGAGAACGCTGGAACATCGCCAAAACCATCGGAAAATCAATGATCTTGGCCTCTGGAGGCGCAGTTGTGGGCGCTCTTGGGGCCCTCTTGGGCCGTCATTTGGGTTTTGTGGGCCCTCTTGGGCCCATGTTGAACCGTCTTGGCGCCCTCGTGGCCCCCCAAGAGGCCCAAAAGGTCGAAATCATCGATTTTACATAGGTTTGTTACGTTTTTGAATTCCAAATGGGGTCTCCATCTTGGGCCCACGGATGTGACGTAGCTCCTGGGGGGGGTAGGGGGGGAGACATAATAATGTAATGCAATACAACATGTGGCAATTATGCAACAAGTGGATACATTGGGTACGTTGCATTATCGCCTCCGCAGAAAACGCTGCCGCTCAGCACGTCACTTCCGGACGTGGATTCTATAGGTTTACGCCACATCCGCCGACCCCTATATAAATTGTTGCGCCTCTGGGGCTGCATTTCACGAGGCTTGTCCGAATCATGACACGGCGCTCCACATCGTTCCGGTTGCTTCGTTGTTGTCATCGTACCTTTTGGTGTTGTTTTCTGGCCTTTTGGTGGCATCTTGGCTTGTCTGCAGGCCATATCCGGCCGCCTCGAGGCATCTGGGGCAAAGTTTTGGGGCCTCTTGGGGGTTTCCTTGGGGTTTCTTGGAGGCCCTTGAGGTTCTCTTGGGGGTCCCTCAGGGCCTCTTCGGCCGTTCTTGGGGCAGGCTGGCACTCAATGTTTTACGAACCTCTTCTGGTCTGCACGAGATGTTTTTTTACAGCATTTCTGACCGAGGTTGGCTTACTTAGACACATTGAGGGTTCATGTCCTAAGGACATGGTTTTGTTATCAGAACGTGTAAGGGGCCCAAGAGCATGTCGTGGTAGGCCTGTGGGAATGCAGGAACGGTCGGTCCCTGCTCAAGGATAGGCTCAGAGGTTCGAGGATCGAGGTCCGCTTTGTCTAAGGGTTTTCGAT